TGAACAATCGTCAAGAACAACGCCAAATTTCGTTCCTCATAAGTCTTGGTATTATTCCTATGTTATCAAGGTTTTTCTTGATCATCGGAAGGAATGCAGATGCAAGCAATTATATTTCGTCATTAATCTGCGTTGATCTGAATCATTGCATATTACTGGAACCAGAGACAAATTTCAAGTATTGCACCGGTAATTGTTAACCATGGAGAAGATACTAATAAACATCAAGGTATAATCAATCTAGAAATCTTGGATTTATTAGACAATACATAGCATCAAAATTACCATATGTCGGTGAAATAACGGGATTTACTAAACCTCGATAAATTTACTTGATCCAGAATCGGGTGTAACGTTAATCGACTAATTCAAAACTTGGAATTTCTTGGAAAAAGAGACAACCCGTCAGTTTATAATACCAGAGAATCAAGCGTGGAGTTGTTTATCAATAGGACAGAAAATAGGTCGCGAGTCTCTAATAGTATATTTTGAGAATGTCCATTGCTTATTTATGTAGAGGTGATTTGTCTTGTCAAAATGGCATCTAGACTTCATCGTGTAATGAAAATCGTTTTAAACTTCATAGTGCGAAAGGTGCCGAGTATGTTATGAAAAATTTGCGCCACTTCCTGGATATAACTTCTTGCAAATGTTCAAGGTGTTTGCGACATATAGCCTTGAATGGCCATTGCGAAAACATCCTAAAGAAAAAAGAAAAGCCAAAGAGGCAAGTTAAATGAATGTATTAGAAATCATTAAATTATTTTAATAAATATTTAAGCTATTAGCAAATTTAACTTTTGGAATAGATTAAGAACCGTGACGATACTGCAAATCGCAATGGCGACGATGACGATGATTACTAACAAATAATAACAAAGGAAAGGCGAAAGTGGCTGTATTTGCAACCCATGCAATCCATGTTGTAGACAAGAAAGACATAAAGAAAGAATGTAGGCGATAAGTTTTATGGAAAGTGGCATCCTCTCCCTGTGATAAGGAGAAATTTGAGGTATGCGAGGACAGCCCACCGCTGGAAGAGTAAATAGAATTTCATTTCTAAAAGAATTGTAAGTTATCATCCTTGTGTAGAACTGTAAAGGTGGTGACTTTCATACTCATATCATCAAAATTACCTACCTATAGTTACAAACAGATAGTTCATCTCAGTACTGCGGTATGCAATGCAGTCTATTTTACTGGTAATCCTATTTCTAGGTTAATCCAAGCTACTAATTACTGGTTAATCACTATCAGCAAAGGTCAAGTTTCTATTGATCCTTGGCTTCTTTTGCATTTACTTGTTTTTCAACTCAGTATTTAGGCATGATCAACATCAATTGATAGATCAATTGATCAGTTATTAATATATATTAATATATACATTCACATATTCAGTTATAATGAAATTCTTATGAAAATCATATAATTTTATGCCTTAGCTGAAGTTTAAATCTATGGCTATTGCAATGTAATCTACAATAGAAATTCAGTTGTTATTATCTAAACTAGGATGTTTAATTCCTTTATCTGATTTTTAGTTAATTTGAATTATTTTAATTAATATAATAAAAAAAAATATTAATTATTTCATATATTAAATACATTTGTAATTATAATTAATATATGGGTTGATTGCTAGGAAAATCAGGTTCCAGGAATTTTTTAACAAAATTGTGATTTTTATTGCATTTTAGTTTTTGATTTTATTAGATTAAAATGTATTAAGCTTTTAATTTAAGTCAAAAATTTCTCAGAATCTGATTTTTCTAGAAACCCTCCCATATATGATATTTTAAATATATTAGAATATTTAAATCAAAAACAAAAGAATTGTCTTTTTATTTTAAAATATTTTAAGATTATAAAATGAATATTATGATTTATAATAAATATATTTAAAATCAAGTTATCAGATTTATTTTATAAATATATTTATAATAATTATAATCAACTCTTTCTATAATGAATTTTGATATAATGAATTTTACAATATAATAAATTTTTAGTATAATACAGATTTTTTTTATATCAAAAAAGTCTTATTATACTAAATTATATTAAATAAATATAAAAAACTTTTTTCTATCAATCAATTTTCACAAAAAAGTTAGAAAAAAATAAAAATTATTTTATTCTATTTTTACTTATAATTTACAATTCCATTAGATAGTTTTATAGTTTTACATAAGTTTATTATTACTTCAAAAAGTTTATTTAAAGTTTCTTTTATTAGATATAATATTACAAAAGAAAGGAAAATAGATTACTAGAAAAAATATATTTTGTTTTAACCAAAAAAAATACTAACAACTTAAACTTCAACCAGTTGCCTCAACTTCATTTTTGAAAAACAAATAGACATATCTTCAATTTTTGATACTATTTTCATTAAAATTTTCTTTAAATTGCTCAATTCAATTCCTTAAAAATTTTAGACAAGTACAAGTATATTCTAATCAAAAATAATACTAATATAAATATAGATAACAAAGATTATATTATTATCATCTATCTAATATCTTTTGCCTATGCTATTACTATTATAAAACTGCAAAAGAACTTCTAATAACTAATATTTCTAAATTATTAATTTCACTTTACTATTTGTATTTAAGAGATTAATATTCATTATATTAATCTTGTTAGGTTAACTATAATCTACTCTAATAATAAAAAATCAATAAAATTAATCCTTATTATATAGTTTTCCAATTTAAGCATCAACTACTTGAAAAATTATGCAACCTACAAAAAAAATATGCAATTTCAACAAAAAATTCTCTGTGTTATATATATTTACCTTAGCCTTAAAAAAATCAGCTTATCAATATTTTTGTTAATTATAGAAAGATTGTTAATTTTCAGATGCATATTAGAGGATTTTGACAATAAGTTTATATTATTTATAAAAATTTAAAATGCACTAAACTATTTTATATACAATAGTTATATTAAATTTATAATTATTATGTTAGAGTTAATCTAACTAACTTAATCTTTAAGTAAGTATAATATAGAAAGACCTTCATATTAAGCTTACTAATTTATTATTTAATATATTAGTATGTGATTTATAAGATATTACACTCACAACAAAAGCTAAAGCTTTATATATCTCATATTTTAATAATTATAAATCTTGTTTCTTTACTATTCTCTACTTTAACTATAAAATTACTTTTAATGACTAGTCAAATAACCATATGTTTTTAGTGAAAATAAATTGTAATAATGTTTTGTAAATGCAAAATATTATCACAAATGTAATCTACCAGATCATATAGTTATGAAATACCCTCAAATTATTTCTTTTTCTGATAAATCTCTAGAAGAGCTGCTTAAGAATCCTATTCATAAACTGCTTTTTGTATAAAAACTTTATAATAGTTTTAAATCTGCTAGTATTCAGTCTTTAATTATTAAAAATAATAATAAACAAAGAAATAATTATCTTTTAAATCCTTCTTTAAACAAACTTAATTCTA